TAATCCAAGAGAAGCTCCACCCAGAACGCGTTGTCCCTGGCAACCCCGATTCCTCCGCGCTTGCTACTCTGGCGGCGGCGCTAACTCCAGCTGGCTGGTTCCGCCCTCTTTGGCGCCTCCAAATAGCGTTTCTCCGCGCGCGGTCCTAGGTCCCTTCCTTTTCCCCTAAAACCTTCTTGGAAACCCCATCCCAGCCTCCTAATTTCTACGTTACGCCGACTGTTTCCAGTCCTCTTCTTGGGACTCCCAACCCCCAAAGTTGGTTTCCGCTGCTCAGCCTGTCGACACCTAGCGCCCTCGGTCTCTGAGCAGGGCTCATGGGTCAAGTGACCAGCACCCCGGGGACACAGGGAGGCCTGTGTCTGCGGATGAAGAACGCACGGCTGGACCTGAGGCTGCTCTCCCAGAGTCTCGGGCGCTTCTGGAACCTCCCAGACCGAGGGAAGCCGAGTCGGAGGGGTTGATGAGAGTTCAAAGGACCTGGAGGTGGAGCGGATGAAAATCTGGGCATGGCAGGTCGCCATCAAGGGAGATTACCTGCGTGGTCAAAGGGAATTTTTGAACCATAATGACCAAGATTTCCCTCTCTCTTATAACCTGCTTCTCCGTACCCATCTGTCCGGATAAGACAGAAGAGGCCCAGCTCTGGGCCTTTTAGCTCCCGATTCTACACTCAGGGGCGCCCAGAGAGCAAGCAGGTGTGCCCACTCCTAATCCAGATAAAGATCCTCCAGACTGGTGAGAGGGCGGCCAAAGATACATGCTGCTGCTAGGTTTCTAGTAGCGGACATGTCCCTGCCCACTCAAGGACCAGCCCAGGAGAGGTCTGGGGACTAGAAAACAGAGAAGGCCTATGTACCCCCTTCCCAGGTACCATCAAGGACAGTCCCCGTCAGGAACATGACTGTGAGGGGTACGTGGGCTCCGGCGTGACGGAGAGCGCCAAGGACAGAGGGGACCGGATTCTGCCCTAGGGACGGCAGCCAGGGCGTTCGTCCTGGCGCGGGGACCTGGAACGACCTCTCGGTTGGGCTGGGAGACGCTGGCTGGGCACCGCGACCCCGTGTGGCGGTGGGAAGCAGCGGCAGGAGCGCTCAGGAGACCGGTTGCCCTGCTGCTGGGCGAAGGAGGCCAGGAGGTCCCAGTCCCTGGAGGGGGCGGAGTTCCCGGGGTTGGAAGCAATTTGAAGAGAGGACCTCGAACAATTGTTCTCTGAGGGCAAGGAGGGCAGGGCCAGGTCCTGAACTGCTCTGGCCGCAGCCTGGGCCCCACACGAGCAGGCACGGAGCAGCCCCAGGATGCAATTGTGCACCGGAGGCTGTCCAGCTAGAGCTAATCAGAGGAGGGGGCTCCGTTAACAGTCCCTGGTGCACAGGTCAACACCAGTGCCTCTGGCTCAGTGTGACCATGGCTCAACCTGGTGTTTCTGTCACAGAGCACTCCTGTGCCCTCCCCCTGGCCACCTCACCTGATCCCCCCAGCTCTCCCTGAGCAGGTGGGGAATAGCGAGCCAGCACCCCAGGCCTTCTCCTGGGCTGGCAGCATTGCGAGCCACCAGCAGAGCGCGCCCCTTGGAAGCACGTGGCCGAGCGCCTGGCTCTTCCCCGGACAAACCTATGCAGTGTGGTAGCCACTGATCTCCTGTGACTACCAAGCACTTGAAGTGTGACCACTACAGACTGAGAACGTGCTGTGTGTGTAAAATGCACACTGGGTCACATCGATTTAATACAAAAAGAGTGTAAACCTCATATTTTCATATCGATTACCTGTTAAAATGATAATTTCTGAATATGAGTTAAATAGTATTAAAATTAATGTCACTTTTATAACGGGGCTACCAGAAAATTAGACGTTACCTACGTGGCTCATGTTACATTCCTTCACCAGTACAGACAGCGGTTCTCCACATCTGGCCCCTGGGCCAGCACATCAGCCGCACCTGGCGTCACCATGCGAATTCTCAGCCCCACCGAGACTCGCTGAGCCAGCTCTGACAGGACCCGGCAACTGGCATTTGCACCAGCCCTGCAGGTGATTCTGCTTCAACTTGAGAATCGCCTGTTCAATGATGTCATTGAGGAAGGGATTTCCCGGCAGGAACTGTGGAGGGAGACGCAGGCAGAAGAGGTGGCTCCGAGGTGGCTGTCCTCCCTTGAATGGCCTGGCAGGGGGCAGACAGCCCCAGGAAGGAGAAGGACCAGACTCTGGAGAAGAGGGCCTGGCTCACAACTCCCTCAGCCTCTGCACGCGGGACCCAAGACCAGTAGCAGAGCCCCCTCGGGGGGGTCTGCTCCCCCTCATCTGGAAAAGAGCGACGGTGACATCATGCCTCTTGGGGCCACGGTAAGGATTAAATGAGTGAGAAATAGGGGAAACTTTTAGAACCGTGCCTAGCATGTAGTGACTGCTCAACAGATGCCAGCTGTCCACCCTTAGGAGCACTATTCAGGAGTCCGCTGTCAACTGCCCTCTCAGGAGTCAGGCGCGGCCCCAGCCTTGTGTGGAGCCTGGGGGGTGGGGAGGGGAGCCCCCTGCCTGGAGGACTGGCAGGCTGAGGCCGGCACTGCCCGGAGCAGCGGAGAAGCCTAGGCCCTCCCCTCAGTCACCCCGCCAGCAGCGATGAGGCTCAAGGCCCCAGCTGAGGGCTGGACCGCTCCTCTCCACCACCTGGGAAGGGTGCCAAGGACCCCAGAGGGTGGCCCCAGGCTGCTGGAGCTGAGATGCCCCATCACTTACGCCTCACCTCCCAGGCCCCGCCTTGTGGCATCACAGCCTCAGTGAAGAGGGAAACTCAGCAGCGTGGGGAGGGGTGCCCAGGAGCCTAGAAAGAGGAGGCAGAGGCTGCTGCTGAGGCCTGTCCATGGACTCCGGGCCAGAGGGACCCACCGCTCCGGTCCCCTGAATGGGTCGGCCATGCTGCAGCCCTGCTCTGAGAGCCTGGAGGGCCTCCCACCTTCCCTGGGCTCTGGTCTCTGCTCAGCCCTTTGTGGCCACAAGCCCGGGCACATCCTCCCAGGAGTGTCCCCATCTGCAGTGTGGAGTTTGGGCTGGACAGACAGCGGGGGCCTCCCAGCTTCCTCATGCTGCTCAGAACTCTTCTGCATCCTGGGAAGGTGCCCCGTCAACCACCCCGGGCTGTGGGCAGACACAGCCAACCCCTGGGCAGGCGGCACCCACAGGGGTCTCTCATCAGCTGCTCCCCAGCCAGACTGGCAGCCCCCCGCGGGCACCCCACTGGGCCAAGCCGCACCTTCCATGGGCGCAGCACTGCTTTCTCTGGGAGAACGGTGGTCAGGGACCGGCAGGTCCAGGGGCTAGGCAGTTTATCTTCAAGTTTGCTTTCTCCCCCTCCCCAACTGGGTGCCCTCAATTAAGATGTTTAATCTCTGTGCACCTTAGTTTCCCCACCTGTAAAAAGGGAGGAGGCTCTTCTGAGGACGGAACGAGTTCACGCACGCGGTGCGGTCTCACAATGGTGACCAGCACCAAGGCCACGTGCTGCGCCAGGGCTGACCGAGGTTTCCACGAGGGTTCAGCAGGGCCAGACAAGCTGCAAGGGCCCAAAACACCCTGCTCAGGGCAGAGGTGGAAGGAGCCAGAGAGGGCGGCCCTGCGGCTTCTTCCTGCAGTCTGACTCCACTCGGCTGGAGAGAGCAGAGCTGTGCGGAGCAGCCGCCACGCAGCCCCTTGTGTCTCTCCACTGATTCCCACAGGCTGGGCTGCCCCACCTGCAGCCTTGCCAGCCCCCGACGCCAGCCCTCTCCTGTCACCACTGCCCAATGACCATCTGCTTATGGGTCCCTGCCCCTGCCACCCCCATCAGAGGCTGAGCCCAGCTGTGCTTGACGCCCCTCCCCAGGCCTGGCACGAACCAGGGCCAAGGCCCTCAGTGGGCAGAGAGACTTCTGCCTATGGGCAGAGGGAGTCTGCAGGCCCAGCCCCCGCCCCAAACCCCCCAGCTCCCAGGCGGGCGGCAGAGAGAAGAGGCAGGAAGGGGTTGTAAACAGTCATGTTGTTGGCACAGCCCGGGGTGACAAAGCATCAGTAGTCTCGCTGGGCCCACAGCCCGGCGGGCCCTGGGGTGGGGCTGGAGGAACAGGAGGGCTCCCTGGGCTTTTACTGAGCAGGGCTGGGCTTGGAGGTGGCACAGGTGGCCCCAGAGGCTGAACACGGCCTTGAAAGGGGCCCCTGGTCCTGGGAGTGGCTTCTGTCCTGAGGAGCAGGGTAGAGTCAAGCCTTAGGGTTGGGTGTCCCCGCACCTGCCCCCGATATCCAGAGCACCCATGTGGGCCCAACACAATGATGAGGTCCAAGGTGACTAGGAGGCTTCTCCCAGAAGTCACCCAGGGCTGACCCTCCCTTCCCCCAGCCAGTCCTCCCCCGGCCCTGGCTTCCTCTCAGGCAGGGTGACCCTCACAGGGATAGTCATGGCCCATGGGTCACCCCGGACCCATTGGTCTGATGGCTTTTCTTTGTCACACCGGATGCCTTCCTGTTCTCTTCAGCACCTCTGGGCCGCCGGTGCGTGTTCTTTGGCCGCATTCCTCCGGCCACGCACTCCTCAGCTGGTCTAGGGCCTTCCCCTCCAGCCGCGGGCAGGCCAGGCCTGGGCCCCCTCCCTCAGTCCGCCAGCGGTGCCCACAGCCAGGGGCCACGACCTCCCTGAGGAGCGGCTGCCCTCCCTGCTCGGGTCCCAAGGCTACACTGTGTTCCTGCGGCCGCTCAGAGGTAAGAAAAGACGCGCCCTGGCCAGGAGCGCAGGCCACAGGGCCCCGGAAGCAACAGCCACGGTGCCGTCCCTCCCGGAGGACACGTGAGTGGGACACAGAATGCTGCACTGCGCGCACCTCGGGAATGTCCACCGTTCAGACGTACCGCCTTCAACGCCACGCCCACAGCCACCTCCACCCTCCGACGCAGGTGCACGCCCAGGGCGCGCCAGCGGAGGCCCGGCCCGGGCCCGCCCCAAGGGCGGACAGCCAGGCCCGACAGAGGGACTAGCTCGCTGGCAGGTCGGGGTCCTTGTGGCTGCATATGACGCCGGCGTCCTCCTGGTGGTCGCAGTTGTGCCTGCCCAGGCCGGCGTGCCGGCACTCCAGCAGGGTCTTCTCGTCGCCCCCGCAGCGCACGTCGTCCAGCAGGATGGGCAGCGCACGGCCTTCGCCGAACTCGGCGCGCTTGGTGGCCCGTACAGTGTGTGCGAAGCCGAGCTGTCGGCACACGACGGTGGCGGCCTTGATGTCCCAGCGGTCGTCGCACACAGTGCCCCAACGTCCGCCCGCGAACACCTCCACGCGGCCGCGGCCCGGGCTCAGGCCCACGGGCCGCACCAGGCGCACGGAGCCATTCGAGGGTGAGGCGTTCTCCTTGCCGGGCCGGCCCCGCTGCCGCCCAGTGGTCCTCCGGCCCCCGGGTTGCTGCGTGGGCCGTGCTGGGCGCCGGGTGGGCCGTGCTCGGCGCGGTGCTCGGCTCGGGGTGGGCACTGGCGGAGGAGCTGTGGGGCGGCGGCGGCGGGGCGCCCTGGTGGTCGCGCGTGCTGTGGGCTGCGGTGTGCTCTCTGCTCTCCGGATGAACTCTGCACAGGAGAAGAGCCTGCGGTCAGAGCGACCCTGGCCACCCCAGCTCTCCACCCGAGAACGCAGACCACAGGGAACGACGGCCTTGTTCCACCCTCCATTCAGACACGGAGGCTGGCGTGACCCCTGGGTGCCTCTGGCACTTGGAGCTGGGTGTGGGGTGCTCCTTCAGTCACTTTGCAAACACTCATTGCCAGAGGCTTTGTGCCAGTCTGCTGCTGGGTCCCGCACCCCCAGCCCTGCCCTCCTGGGAGTCCTCATCTCCAGAAGGTGGGGAGGGGGGAGTCTCTCCCGCCCCACACACTATAAACTCAGGAGTGCAGTAGAAGGGAAGGCGTGTCTGAGAGGGCTCCTTCAGAGCAAGTGGCCCGCTCTGGTTCCAATGTTCGGTTTAAGGGTGGGACACTGAGACCCACTGACGGAGGAGACTGCTGAGGGGCCACAGCAGGCGGCGGGATGAGAGCCAGGCCCCTCTGCCCCCAGGCCTCCGGCTTCTCCTCTTTGCCTCTCGCTGCTCCCTCTCCCTTCCAGGCTCAACCCTTGGCCTCTGCTCCAAGGGCACCACCATCCCGCACTGCTCCGAGTCCCCATGGCGCCCGGCACACACCCCTGCCCCTGGGCCTGGAACACTAGATGACGCCCCTGTGTGTCGCAGCCAGGACAGGGCCGGGTCGGCCTTCTCCTTGTGGTTCCAGCATCCTGCACTGAGTGGGCCACTCGCCAAAGGGCCAGAGCCTCCTGGATGCGCGGATGGAAGACTGGCCAAGGCTGGGAGCCAACAGAGGCTAGACTTAATCTTCCCCAAACCCCGGTTCACCTTGTCCCCCAACTTCTACCCAGGGCACCCCTTCCTCAGGACCCGGCGCCCCCACTTCCCCGGGCGCCCAGCTTCCCCCCGCTGCAGCCCCCACCCCCAGCCTGCCAGTCGGCCACTCTTGACCAGCTGGGAACACTTGGCCTGCTCAAGTGCTTCCTTTGGCCCACAAGGTAGTTTTTAAGAGCCAACGTTTTCAGATCGGAAGATTTGTATGTAACAACTCGAGGAGGCAGACGGCACATCCGTCTTGCTTAGTGTTATATCCCCAGAATGAAGCACATGCAGGTGTTAATTGAGTGAATTAAATAGTTAATGGGTGGATTTCCTGCTTCTCTTAGGAACTGAAAGGTCTGGCCATGCCAGGCCTCTGTTCCCACCTAGCCTGGGCCTGCGGAACAGCCCCTTCCCTAGGACAAGCCCTTTGCAGTTGGCCCCTGATCTGAGGGACAGTCATTGGTGGGCTTGCCCGGCCCTCCAGGTCATAAGATTGGCACCCCCTCCGTCCCCACCAACCTTCGCCGAGCGAAACCATCTACGTATGGCAGGCGCGGCCCCTACACTCCACCCCCAGCAGCCCTTGCATCTAGCATGACTCCTCCCAGTATTCCTTGCTCACGCACAGATATACCCTCCTTCCTTGTCCCTGTCACGAAATCTGAGTGTAGCTTCCCCGGGCCACAGCTATGTCTCCCTTTGCCACGCCCCCTTTGAGACCCGCACCCTGTGGGGGGCCACCCCCCCACAGCCTGGGACTGGCACCCCCCCACTGTAACTGAGTGTCTAATGTGTGCCCAGCACAGGGCTAGGCGTAGGGGCTGAGGAAGGGCGTCCAGGTCCACCTGGCAGCATGGGCTGTGGGAGCTTCCCTCCCCCACTGTGTCCCCATTGGTGGGCACTTACTTTCTTTGGGCACAAAGTGGATGAGGCGGCTCCTCACCTTCACCTGGGCGGGCTGGATCTGACACTTGCCGGGGGGTGCCCGTCTGCCAACACACAGGAGGTCATGAGCCCCCCCAGGAGCCTGCCCTGAGCATATCCCTCAGACACTGCCCTCCCCTGGAGCCTGGCGGAAAGGGGAGGGCCAGTGCGCTCTCAGGCCTGGGCAGGTGTGGACACTAGCAACGGTGGCCATTTGTGAAGCGCCTACAGTGTGCCCGGCGGTGTGCCCACATACCCCATGCCCCCGGCATCTGTGAGCGCGTGATCCCAGCGCGGGACCCCTCCTGGCGGCCTGCCCGCGGCCCGTGCAGCCTCTGAGGGAGGGCCGGCGCTTACCTGAGTGATTTCTAACTCAGAGCGTGACCTGCCCTTGGAGCGTGATCACACATCACTCCTCCCCGAGCCTGGCACTCCCGACTCCTGGAACTGCCACCCTCCCTGGGCCCCGGCCCCCACAGCCTTTGAGGCACATGTTTCTCTGCCCCTCTGGTTCCTGGATTTCTGGTGACGCAGGGGTCCCTCTTCCTGGAGGAAGCAGGAAAGATTCAGTTTTTCAAAAGGTGGGGGTGTGTGTCTTGGGGTTGGCAGCAAAGCTGGGGGACCCACGGGCCTTGGAGGGGGGGGCTTGAGAGCGGGGAGAGAAGAGTCCGAGCAGGTTGCCAGGGCTGTGAACTGGGCTCCGCTGACATCTTTGAGGGGCACCAGTACGGAATGGAATTCCGTTTTAATTAGTTTTTGGCTGCCGATCTGTGAGTCTTTGAATGGGACCGGCCGGATTCTGGGACTGACCACGTGGGTGCAGGACTCAATAGGGTCCAGCAGCACAAGGGGAAAGCCCAGGGGGCGCAGCAGCCACGTGACACGAGGTGGCTCCCAGACAGGCCTGGCAGCAGAGGGCAGCTGAGGAGGGACGTGGGCCTTCTCCCCCAGAGGCTGAAGAAATGCAAGCAGCCACACACACTTGTCAAAGCTGGAGACAGGGCGGGCTTTCTGGTGGCTCTCGATCCACATAATAGCCACACTCTCCACACGGACCCAGCGGGGTTTTGTTCCTTAAGGAAGTTATGTAAAAAATTTTAGGTTACGCAAAAGGTAGGCGAGAGACCAAAAAGTGCCACAGCCGTCATGTCATGAGTGGGCAGTAACGGATGACCCCACCCCCACCCCCTCCGCGCCCGTTGCTTCATTCTCCAAGTGTTCTGTCACGGGGCCGCCGTGCAACATACTGCAGGGCAAAGAAACACATTTTATTCCAAAAGAGAAAAATGAACGGGATGAGGAATGCCAGGGAGGGAGGGGGCCTGGCCTGTTTCGGGCTCCTCCGACCCACAAGACCTTGAGCAGAGCTGCCCGCTGCCGCGCCAGCATAATAAGCTGACACCGCGCCGCACAAAGCAAGGCAGTGATGGGTCCAAGGCAGCATCTGGCATGAATTAGGTGCTCCCGAAATGTGACATTTCCTTAGAAAAGCATCCTTTTTAAAAAAAATTGGAAATGTCCAAGGAATGGGTAAGATAATGAAGGCAGAGTGACTCAACAGAAAATTACGTTGCCATTAAAAACCTTCTGCGGGTGATGTAGCAACGTGGAAATGTTTATACAAAATAGGGAAAACGAGACGCAGAAGAATGCAAAGGTTGCGTGTGCCCTTCCACCACGATGTACATCCTGGAGCTACCCAGGGAAAGATGGGGAGACCTCAGGGCCGCAGACGGGGGCCTGGGAAGCGCTTCTGTCCTTCTCAATAAGTGGTTATGTCAGTAAGGAAGAGGTCTGCGCTTTCAGGAACAGTGTGGTGCTCAGGAATGTCTGAGAAGCTGCAACAGGCCAGAGGAAGCTAAGGAGACGCGATGACTAACTCTAACGTGGGATTTCCGATGGGAGTCGGGGGCAGAAAAAAGGACACGAGTTGCCTCAATTTTCCACAGAAGTGTGGAGTTTAATTAATAGTAATGCACCAGTGTTGTTCATGAATTGCGACAAAGGTAGCGTCGTAACGCAAGATGTTTAAACAGTAGAGGACAGTGGGTGTGGGGTGCAGAGGACAAACTCTGTATTATCTTGTCTGTAACCCTAAAGCTACTCTCAGCTGTGAAAGAGGATCGCTCTGTTTCAGTGTGATGGTGGGCCTGTGCCCCCCTGCCCGCCAGCACCCCGGACGCCCTTACCACGGGGAGAGCTGGCCTCGGAGGCCGCGGGCCGGCGTGGAATCCCGGATCCGGCCCTCGCCAGCACAGTGGGCTTGTCTAGTCCCTTCCCCGCTCCGGGCCTTGGTTTTCCTGTCTGAGCAATGGGGATGGAGTGCTGCCCACCTTAGGGCGTGGGGGCGAGGGCAGTGAGGGCTCCTGGCGGAGGGCAGCGGCTCAGCCAGTGTCGCGGGGGGGACTCACCTGGAGGGATCGATTACTTTGTAGACGACCCCCCGTGCCGCGGTGGCACTCGGCACGGCCGTGGACATGAAGTACAGCTCCCCTTGGGCAAGAAACAAGGGAAGGGGTGAGAGTGCCACCTGGTCCCCGTCCCGGCCAGCCCCACGCCCCTCCTCGGGCTCTGAGATGAACCCTCCGCTCAGGAGGCGCGCCGTGAGGGCAGGGCTCTTGGGCTCTTGGGCTCCTTGCCCGCGCCCAGAACTGGAGACTGAGCCTGAGAGGGCGCCCAGACATGCCCCAGGGCCTCTGCGGCACAGGCTCCTGGACCGTGGCCGCCCAGCCCAGACCCGCCCCGGCTCTGACCTCTGCTCCGGCCTCCCTTCCGGTGCCCCAGGCCCTGGTAACCTGCCTGGGCTTCACGCCCAGCACCACAACCTCCGGGCACAGGGAGGGTCCACAGCCCAGCTCCCCGCCAGCTGCCTACTGGGTGATGCGGGCACGCGGCTGTCTGGGCCTCCGCACGCTCATCCCAAAGCGAAGAGCCTCATAGGACTGTTACTTGGATTAAAAGAGCTCAATCAGCATTAGCTGTCCCTGCTGTGGCCACTGTCACCCAGGATCTGGGCCCGGCCACGTCCTTGAGGCCAGAGGGAGTCTCCTGGGGAAAGCCAGTCCCTGCGCTCAGCCTGGTGGGAGTGCCGGCAGCTCCAGGACCGCCCCACTCGGAGCCTCAGTTTCCCCACCTCTCAGGACTGTCCTGACGACACGGTGAGGAGAGTCAGGAGCTCCCGGTGCCATGTGGGCTCTCAGGGAACATGGGTTCTCCGTTCTCCCCTCACCCCAACCTGCCCCGGCCTTTGTTGCCAGAGGCACCGGTGTCCAGAAAACAGGCTCCATTATTCCCATCTTACACATGAGAAAACAGAGGCTCAGAGAGGCCAAGTGACTGCCCAGAGTCACACAGCTGCAGAGTGGTTAAGCCAGGCCCGGATCGCAGGAACGTCTCTGCCCCCAAGCCCACACTGATGTAGGACACATGGTGGCTGGGAGGCCCAGACACAGGCCACAGGTGACCCAATGTGATGGGTCAGCCATGGTAGTACCTTCTGTCCTTGTAGGGCAGTGGAGGGCTCTCTCAAGGATGGGGGGGGGGTGGTTTCTCCAAGGACAGGGCGAGACAGAAAGCCATGAGGGGGCTTAGAGGAAGGCACAGCCCCGGCAGCCGGTGCAGTCTGGGGGCGCTGCGTGGGGACGGGGTCTGAGACTGAAGACCCAAGAAACCCGGGGAATTCCGCGAAGGGGAAGACACTTCAGAGGCGACTTGTTTAACTGGGACAGACCCAGCTGCGGCAGGGGGCTGGGGGCTGGGGGCTGGGGAGGCGGGAGCCCCCGCCGGCTTGGGGCGGGGGTGAGGGGCGCCCTGGGCATGGTGGTGATGCATCCGTGGGAGGCAGTGGGGCGCCCCGGACGACTGGTCCCTGCTGGAGAGCCCAAAGGCACAGCCCTGATTTTGCTGGGTGGCCTTGGGCCTGTCACTTCCCTCTCTGGGTCCCTTTCTGGAGAGAGGCCCTTGGGAGCCACTGTCTCCTCCCCGGCCGTGCAGCCCTGCCCCCTCCACTCTGGCCCTCTGCAGTGGCTCGCGGCTCCCGCGCACCCCGCTCCCCAGCCCGGATGCCTTTCCGCACCGTCTCCCTCTGGCTGGCCAAGCTCAAGCTTAAGGCCCTGCTCTGGAGGCCTCGGGGGGCCAGGCCGGGCACAGCGCTCCCCACCCATGACTGAGTGTGAGTCGTCAACCTCAGTTTCCCTGTCTGTAAAGTGACAGGGCCAGACCAGCCGCACTCTGCGGCTCCCTCCAGCCTGGATCTGCTGGGAGCCACACCCCCGCGCCCCGCATGGGCCCTGCCCACGCGCTGAGGAGCCCTGCCTGGAGCCAGGCTGCCCTCCTGGCCTCCCTGATGTGGACTGTCCCTGGAGGACACCAGGCCAGCAGAGGTCCTTGTCTTGCAATTTGCAAGTATCAGAAGAACAACTAGCGAGGCGGAGCCTGGAGCCTGGAGCCGGGAGAGGGTTGTTTGCATTGGACCCCGGAGCGGAGCGCGGCGCCTTCCAGGGGCTGCCTGGCCAAGCTCGCCAGCGGGCTGTCCCTGGGCTGTCTGTCACATCCCTCGGTGTCAGAGGGCTGCCAAGGGCCCCTGGGAAATGCACCTTCCAGGCCCTGCCTCTCGGTGGGAGGGTGGCGATGGGGAGGGTGGACAGAGAGCACCCCTCCTTCCAAAACACGTTAACCCCCTATTGACCAAAAGAAAGGATTTTCAAAAGCCCAGTGGGCTTGGGGAGGGCAGTGGGGGCTGGGGCTGCCCTTTGGAAAATTTAGATTCTGATGGGTGACGTTTCAACAAAGGTTTCCCAGACTCAGGCCTGGGGGCTCTGGGCACTGGGCTCTGCAGGGGACACCCCTCAAAAGGCCCCCCCAGGGGGCGTTGCCCAGCAACTGGGCCAAGCATCCACTAGGCCCCACTGGGGGCCCCTAGGCTTTTGTCTAGGGACAATCCAGGGCCAAGGACAAAGGCAGGAGGCTGGAGCGGGATCCAGCCCTTGTGGCCCCTCTTCCTCTCCCCTCCCCCACTGTTCCTTGCATTGAAACACAAGGGCCTGAATGGAGGACCCACTACCAGGCAAGAACGCGGGTATCCATCCACTTTCTGAAGACAACGTAGCTCCATTTCATAGGCCGCAGTGCACTTGACGTCAGGCGCCTAGGGTGGCGAAGGTCTCGGGAGGCGCCCTTCCCCCACCTGTCTGCCCTTCCACCATCCCCGAGCCTCTCCTGGTCCCCTAATGGCTCCAGGCTCTTCCCCAAGGTGTCACACTGTCCCTCACAGCAATCTTACTCAGGGTGAGGGGAGGGGGCGGAAACTGAAGCTCGGAGGGGTGAGGACGAAGCCCAAGCGAGGTCTCCAGCCCCCTGAGAACACCGTTCTTCATCCTGAAGGTGGTTTCCGGCCTGAGAGCCCATCCCTGGGACCCCAGGCCCAGAGGACCCACAGGGTGGGCACCGGTCCGGCATGGGCAGCCCAGGACTGCTCACCGGCCTCGTCTTCTGCAAAGGAGATGATGTGCGGGTGGTAGTTGTTGATGAGACCTGGGAACTCGCAGGTCTGGCCACGGCCCATGCAGAGCTCGCTGTACCGCCACCGGCCCGTCTCCGGGCTCTCTCGGAGGGACATCAGACGCCTGCCAAGGGGGAGGAGCTGTGGGGTCATGCCAGGCATGGTGCCCAGGGGTCAACCCATCCATCCACCCACTCATCTATTGTCCAGGCAACTAGGACCATATCTAACCACAGGGTTCAGTACAAAGTGAGTGCGCAGGGCCCCTCGTTCAAAAATTGTTAAGAATTTCAAGACGGTGAGAGCAGAGCCTTAACCCGAGCGTGGGTGCTCCTGAGCACAGGGCCCTCGACATCCTCAAAGGTGACCCTGCGTCATGTCCTCACAGAGCACCTTCTGTGCACCACAGAGCGGGTGGGGGAAGGCACAGACACCAAAAGACCCGCGTGGCTCCAGCTGCTCTGCTCAGCCCCGCCACTGACCAGCAGGAGGCAGTCAGGAGCAGACTTGGATGTCAGAACCCGTGAGGCTGGTGCCCAGGGCTGGGCTCGCACTTTGGAGCTGCCTCCAGTTCACAGCGTGAGATGGAGCCTGGGCACCTTCACAATGGGCTGATCTGGCCCTTTCTCCCTTTCCCCACCTGTCAATCACCTGCTCACTGCCCCTTCCCCTGGGAAGCCCTCCTGACTGCCCCTGCCTTGGGCTTCCCCAGCGCCGCGCACAGGCTCTCTGCGGCCGGACGAGAGTGGACCAAATGTCTGTCTGTCTGTCCCCGACTTGGGTATCAGGAGCTCTTCAGCTCTGTTGCGCTGGCCCTGGCCCCGAGCCCCGAGCCTGCCCCAGCAGACGGGTTTAGGAAAGGTTGGCAGAATTAGCTAAATCTCTGGTCAGAGATTAACTTGGGAGATAGGAGACTCAGGGTGAAAACGAGGCTTCATCTAGACCTACTTTCCAGGTGGGATGGCTGAGTCCCAGAGGCAGACCCCACAGGAGGGGCGGAGCTGAGAGAAGGATCCACCGTCCAGAGACCCCGCTCAGGGCTCTCTCAGCTCCAGCTGATGACGAACTGGCCACACACCCACCCAGGGCAGCAGCCAGCAAGAGGCGAGAGTTCTCCTGCCAGCCCCGGGGCTCCCTCCGGGGGAACGGCTGCCCTCCCGTGCAGAGTCTGCAGTGGGAAGTCAACCAGATATCGGATGTGCACTCCTTCTAAGTGCAGGGTGTGTATTAATGAACTCAGTCTTCAAACAGCCCTGGGAGGCAGCTACTGTTACCATTTCCATTTTGCAGATGAGGAAACTGAAGCACAGAGAAGTTAAGTGACTGGCTCAAGGTCATATGGCTAATACGGGGGCCAGGGTTCGGACCCAGGCCATCGCAGCTGCAAGTCCAAGCATCACACCAGGCATGTATCTTCCCTGGGTGTCCCTGGCCCTCAGTTTTCTCCTCCGTACAATGGGAGAACAAGGCGGTCATGAGGCCCCACAAGCTCCCCTGGGGAAGGAGCCTGGCCCACAGCAGGTTTGGGGCACGCCCTGCCACGTGGAGGCACACTGCCATAGACGGGGGGACCAGGCGGCAGCAAGTCTCCGGGGGCCCCATGCGCATTCCTGGGCCAGAACCCCAGGTCCCCTCCCCCCAGCAGGGTGGCATCTCTGGCCTCTCCCAGACCAGTGCTCCCTGGGACCCTGGTTGGCTTGTCCAGGGACATGTCCTGGCCCACCGGGGTGACCATGAGCGGTCTAGGAAGTTGTTGGTGTCCCTCTCACCTCGCTCCTATGCTCCCTCCCCCAAAACTGCGGTCAGGCCACTTACTTACCCACTCATGAAATCGCCGAAAACGTAGAGACCGTTCAGGTTGGGGTACTCGCAGCCGCGGTACACGTAGCCCCCGGTGACCGACTTGCCCATTTTGTGCGGGTAGGCGAATATGGGCAGCACGTCATCTGCGGGGAGGGAGAAGCCGGGGTCAGCCCGGGGTCAGCCCTCCCGCCCCGTAAAGCTTGGTGGATGGTCCTGAGTCGCTGGACAAGGGGATGTGAGGTCACTAGGAGAGTCGAGATGGGGCCCTAGATGGTCCCTGAGGGAGGGAGGTGCTGACCGCTTGTGAGGTGGGGAGCAAAGCATGGGTTTGGTGGGGTGGGGGTGGGATGAGAAGGGCAAGGAGCATCCCAGGAGAACTGGGGAGGGGGGACGAGAGAGAGGAGGTCCAGGAGTATGGGGGGCCCGGAGGGAGGCGTAGGCACACATGTGGGTGGAGGACAGACTGGGATCAGGATTCCCAGGGGCAGCCTCGTTGAGCCTCCTGCAGACACTGAGGCTGGCAGAGCAGTGGGGTGGGTGTTGGCGGGGGGGGGGGGCAGAGGGGCGCAGTCACCGAGTGAGGCGTTGGCGCACAGCTTGAGGTCATAGCACTCGAAGCCCTCGCGCGCACGCCAACCGTAGTTGCCGCCGCGCTCCACCAGGTCCACCTCCTCGAACTTGTTCTGGCCCACGTCGCCACAGAAGAGGCGCCCGCGGCCCGCGCCCGACACCGGGTCACCACGGTCGAAGGAGCAACGCCACATGTTGCGCACCCCCAGTGCGTAGACCTCCGGCCGCGCGGCGGGGTCGCCCACAAAGGGGTTGTCGGGAGGGATGCCATAGAGGAGGTCGTGCTCACTGTGGTCCACGTCGATGCGCAGCACCTTGCCCAGCAGCGCTGACCTGCGGGCAGGTGGGAGGGGGCACCGGCTCATGGTCGCCCTGTGCCAGGGCACTGGGGCACCGCCAGAGGCAAGGCGAGCCTTGGCTGTGGGCCCAGAGACTCTGGTGGGTTTGGTCCTTCTCAGCCACTCACAGCTGGGTTACTGCCTCTACCCATTCGCCATTCACAGGCACCTCACCCTATGCCAGCTCTGTCCCCAGCAGTGGCCATACATACCACCTAGAGCCTCGCTCCAGCGTCACAACAAACCTTTCGGATAGGTGGGTTCTACTGTGACCCCCATTTTACAGACGGGGCAGTGAGCTCCAAAAGGTCACCTACGTGCCAATGGCCACCCCGCTGGTAAATGCTAGGGCTGGGCTCAGTCCTGGAAGGCTGGCTGCAGAAATCTACACTCTACCACAACACGGTCTAACCTCCCTGGACCCGTGTCCCCACTGAAACGTGAGGGCAGTCCCTCTTTCCTGCCCTCTTCGGGGCCTGTGCCACAAGGGAGAAACGGATGCTCCTGGAACGCTGGCCGTTCAGACTCCTTCCGGCGCCCAGCACAGCGCGTGACACATAGCAGCTGCCTGTCCAGTGCTTGCGGAGCGAGTGCATGACTGACCACAAGCAAAGCCGAGTGCACCACGCGGAACCCCGGTCGGGGCTGGGACAGGGCGGGAGAACGCGGCAGACCCTGGCTGGGAACAGAGGCCGGATCTTGCTCTCTCCCACCCCTGCCCCAGGCCATCACAGGCGGAACCACGGCATGTCAGAGAGCGGACGGCCTCGGTGGTGGCTCAGTGCAGCCTGCGCTCCGCACCCTCTGCCCTAACCGCAAAGATGAGGCCACCCAGGTCCTGAGACGCAGACTGCTTGCCAGATCCCCCTGGCAGCTCTGGACCGGAAGCCAGGCCACTCCAGGGCCAGGCGACGTCGCCTTCTGGGGCCTTCCAGAGCCACATAGAACAGGGGGTTGTGGGGGTGGGGGAGGTGTGCAGCCCTGACCTCCACACAGCTGCTGGGGGGAGTGGCTCGTGAGTTTCATTCATCACACGACAAAAGTGACACCTGATGGGGGAGGTCTGCCTTGAGCTTGAAGGAGGGGAGAACACTGGGGGCCACACTCTCACTGGTGATTTTTGATGCACCTACGTAGTCACCACGCGGGCTTGCACCCTGGCGACTCCCTCCGGGCTGCCTTTCAGGGCAGGGCCGCTGTGCCCGGCACATCTGAGGCAACTGGGCGCCCACCCCGCTCGCACGGCATCGGCGCCCAAGCGTTTCCCTCGTGAGAGACATCTCATGGCGTCCCCGTCCAGGCGATGAAACGCCCCCACCCAGCGGAGGCCCCTCAGGTAATCCCCACTGCCCGGTGGGTTTCTCTCGCACGCTGCAGGCCACGCAGCACAAGCTGCGGACCGCGGCCCGGAGCCGCACGCCACGTACCCGGCTTCCATGCGTAAAAGAGCAAAACTGAGCAGCAAAGTAGTGTTTTAAGTTCGGTCCAATTAGCTGCAAATCCTTAATTTCTGTTTTCTGAGCTTCATCTCTCAGCATCCCCCAAACATGAGAAAGCTGCAATGATTCTCACCCCGTCACACACGGAAGCACGAGCCACACATGGCGAACACTTTAATTACTGTAATCAACATCAGACTCGCTAGCTTTACTTTCCAGGCTGAGAGAGGGCTTGTCATTTTTGGCTGAGAGTGTGGGGGAGGCTGCCCTGAGACCTCGTCTAGACCTGCGAGACACCAAGTATGCGTGTGCGTGTCTGTCTGCTCGAGCCAAGAAATGACTAAGTGAGAGCTAAACTATGCTTCGACTTCTGGGCCATCAACGGTGACCCTTGGGGAGGACACCCCGGTGCTCATGTGGCCCTGTTGCAACCAGCTCGCACTCCCTACTTGGTCTGAGAAGCAGCCCTTTCCTTCCTCTGGTTCCAGCAGGACTGGGCTGACTTCCGAAAAAAAATCCTGTATTTTCCCGGATGCCCTTTGACGTCACCGCTCAGGGACCTGTGGCAAGTGGGCCCTCTGCCTGGCCTCCACAAACGTGGCTGCTTTTACCTCCACGACAAGCCTTCCCATGGAGATGACTTTCCTCCGACTGACGCGAGGCAGTGGCCTGTCTGGGGGTCTCCAGCTGGCTAGCTGCAGGCTGAACTGGGGCCAAGGCCCTTTGGGCTACGTGGCACTGCATGGCCGAGGAGGTGACTCCCCTCCAGGAGAGAATGTAATCTGGGGGTACACGAACCAGCCCACCAGCCAGCCAAAGGCAGGACATACTTGTTTTGGGCGTTCCCAAACTTTCCAAAGGGGTCTCCGGCCATCCCGCCATCACCGGTAAAGATGTAGAGGTAGCCGTCGTTGCCAAAGAGCAGCTGGCCCCCGTTGTGGTTCGAGGCTGGTTCGTTGATCTCCAGGATTATCCTGAAAGAAGATAAGCAATCCCCACCCCACCCCCAAATAATCTCAGCCAAAAGACAAAACAGGATCACAGCCATGAAACCTCCTCTTTCCCAGATACCATTTCACAGTCCAAAGGACTTTTCACATCTTCTATAATAGCAGGTGGCTTTTACAAAGGCCTGGTAGGCTGGGCATAGATAATTCACTCTATTGTGCTAAAGAGAACTGGATGCTCAGAGGGGGTGAGCAACTTGCCCACAGTCACACAGCGCTAGTTCTGGTCCAGCTAGTTCTGGTCCAGCGCTCTTCCTACTGCTCCCCGCTGCTAGCACCTGCCCTGTGCGATCACGCGACACTGCTGACCCAGGCGCACCTGGTTTCTCCATCGGTCTTAGCTACCCCCACGTCAGCCACGGAAGCTGAGCGCTTTCCACGTACTCCCTCATTTGTTCTCTACCGTAACTTTGGGAGGGGTGGGCTGCGCTCATCTCTCCACCTCCGTCAGCAACCTCTTTTACTGCCGTGGGGGAGCCTCCCACCGTACTGTGGCCAGCCGGCCGGCCTCCGGTTCGCTTTGGTCCGTGGAGAGCAGGCAGCAAGAGGAAGGGAGAAGCCCTGTCTCCCCGGCTTCCAGCACTGCCTCCAGGGGATGTGCTTGCAGAGAGGCCGCAACAGCTCGTGGACAGAGACTGGGTTTCAGCCCAGACATCTTGGGACCAGGAGCAGCAGGCTGAGCAGCCCAGACCTTTGCCCTTTGGTTCCTCCAGCCCACGAGTGGTAGCAGCCTCTTGCAGTCACTAACCTCTAGATAACTTGACCTTCCCCTTTTCCTTCCCCAGCCCTCCTGACACCTTTGTAGCCACTGCATTCAGCTCCCTCCGACTGAAGTGCTTGGGCTGAATTTTGATGTTCTAGGATTGATCACTGACTTACACATCCCTTATTAACAGAGATTAGAAAAACGAAAGATACAGAAAGGTCAAGAATTTGAGCCCAGGATGTCGGACCTTCAGAGCCAAGGCCGGAAGCCCTTCCCTGTGAGGCCAACACAGACGGCTTGGTGAACACGCCCAGCCCCAACTCCAGGTCCTCCGTGGACGGGAACGCTCAGCTGTCGGTCACCCACCTGCCATCGGCATCCCAGCCCTGGGATCAGGGACCGACGGCTGACTCAGGCAAGGACGACCCCGCCCTCCTGGCCCGGCCCTGAGCCAGCGTGTCTAGGCTTGTACTTGCGAGGTCCCCAGAGAACCCTCGCTGAACTCTCACTCTGAAATACGTTCATTTATATAGTTTGCGTTGCATCTTCAATCTTTATCAGGAATCAACTTTTAGACATCACTGTTGAAGACGCACCCATTCCATCCCTCTGTCTCCCCTCTGTGAGATCCACGTGAAACCTGGTCCCTCTTGGAGAACAGGTTATGCAGCCTCATATAAGATCATAAAAACTGTTTCCTCTTTTTACTCTGGCTGCCAGGAAGCTCATGCACAAAATTACTTCTGTATGACGAGATCTCCATGAGCCCTCAGATTAGCCAGGATATATGATTCCTTCTCCTTCTTATACTTCAATGCCAAGATTTTACAGTTTTAGCAAGTACTTGATGTACTGTTATTTGCTGATATGCCCTCAGGCCCAGTCCTCGCCCTCCCCTACCTGCTCAGTACTTCAGATGGCCATTTCCTGAAAACTACATTTCCCATGCTCCTTTGCTAGCTGGCCTCCAGCTAGCCTCAGCCAATGAAGGCCGTGGGAGGAGAGTGGAGGGCGGGTGGAAGGGAAAAGAGCCAGGGTATTCCTCCCCATCTTTCTTGCTCCAGGCAGCATCTTGGCAATGGCTGCACCTCCTCCCTGGATCCAATTCCTGCCGGCTGGACACACCATGGTTCCAGCTTCCTCTGAGCAGCCCCAGCTCCGAGGCTCCTGCACTATGTTCTCCACCCCCTCACTTTGTTCTCCAGCCCAAGAGGTGGAAGCACATCCCTTCACCTGTCCGACTGAGTCGCCACGCTTCTTCCCCAGGTTGTGGTCATCATTTCTAACACCTCAGGAACTGTTCCCACGTCTAGTTCTGCTGACTGAACCACCTGGTAGGGGGCTTATTTTCCTGTTGGACTCAGACCGATGTGCATGCCCTCAGTGCCAGGGGAGGCCAAGCCCGTGTCAGGAGTCGGGCACAGATAGTACACAGAGAGCCGACTCCGTGCTGTGGGAGCACAGCCCGGGAGAGAAGGGATGGATAAACCTGCAGGGGCGGGAGGGTGGAGGGTGCCGGGGAGGAGGGGTGGAAGGAGGGTGGAATCACCTGGCGCCCTAGTGATGGGGTGGGGGTGAGGGGAGCAGGGGGATGGGCTTGGAAGCCCATCATGTACCCTCGGGTTCATGGTCCCAGCTCTGATGCTTCCCGGCTGTGAGACCTAGCAGGTCACTTCACCTGTCGCAGCCTCCACTTCCTCATCTGTGAAATGGGGACAGCAACGCTCACAACCCCCGCTGGGCTTTATGAGGATCCAGTGAAACGAACCCTCTGAAGTTCCTGATCCAGGACTTTGGACATGATCCTGTGACGTCTGTTTGGCAACTGTCTCCAGACATGGGGTTCCCCTGACCCCAGGACATGGGGTTTGGCCCCCGCCCCAGGGTAACATTCAAAACATTGAACAACCTGTGCAGCCCACGGCATGAACTGGCTGGGTCCTACCCGCCGAATTTCAGCCCCGCCCCTGCCCGGCCTGGCTCCCCGGGGAGGCCACCTCTCAGAGCTGTGGTCCACGGTGTTCACGTCGTCCTCCGAGACCCTGAACTCGCTGATGCGGATCCACTCGTCAAAGTCGACCCCCACCGAGTAGTAGACGTAGAGCCTGCCGTTGTGCCGGAAGCGGGGGTGGAAGGCGATGCCCAGGAAGCCCCGCTCGTCGCCCTCCCAGGGCGAGGTGAGCACGGCCTCGCTGACGTTCAGGAAGGGCCTCTCCACCCGCGAGCGGTCGGGCAGGTAGGCCCACACCAGCCCCACCTGCTCGGCCACGAAGAAGCGGTGGGTGCCGTCCTGGGCGTGGACCATGGCCACGGGGTTGCGCAGCCCGTTGGCCACCTCCTCCAGGCACAGCTGCAGGCAGCCCTTGGCGTCGGCCACCACGCGGCCCAGGTTCGCGTTGAGGTTCTCGTTGACCAGCAGGTGCGGGAAGCAGTAGTCCGTGTCGTCCAGGGCCAGGTAGCGGCAGAACTTGGCGCGGTTGCCCTCCAGCGCCCAGAGCTGGCGGTCGGGCGACAGGTGGCGGAACAGGCCCCGGCAGGTCTGCCACATGTCCAGGCAGTAGTCCTCGCAGAGCCCGGGCACCGTCCGCAGGGGCGTGGCCGGGTCTTCGGCGTCGTAGAGGTGGGCCGCGTAGGGTGAGCATTCCTGCAGGGACAGGGGCAGCTCAGGGCTGCTCTGGGGTGGCACTTACCAGCGGTGTGGCCTTGGACAGGTCACCCCACCCCCAAGGGGCCCGGGCTGCTGATTTGTAAGACGGGGACACCACCATCCCGTTGTTACCAGGATGAATCTCCACTACCGCAGGCCTCCTATCGCCTCGCGTTCTTTTTTTTTCTTTTTTTTCTTTCTTAAGATTTTGGAACATGCCCGGCCAGGGGCTGAGCTCGCAACCCTGCCATGCACCCTGACTGGGCATCGAACCGGTGACCCCTCGCCTTGCTAGGTGATGGCCAACCCACCGAGCCACACCGGTCAGGGCCTGGCCTCCTTTCTTTTTCTTTTGCCTCCGTGGTTCTGTTGGAACAAATAACCACAACTGTTACTGCTACTACTAACAACAGCAGCAGTTACTCTTGAGGAGAATCTGAGGCTCCTTTATAAACGTTCTGTTTTAACACGATCGATGCCTCCGCCCTTTTTCTGCATAATGTCCCCCTTTGTCTGGCTTGCGAGTCAGGGGCCCGCTCCTCAGGGAGGGCTTCCCCGGGGGCCGCCCCCCACTCCAGGGGCCACCCGAGCCCTTTCGCTGGGAGACAAAGGAATCAGACCCCTTTGGCCTCACCGGCCCCCTTTCCAGCTCTGCTGGGCTCCAACTTCATGGGGCAACGCCCCGCAGCCACCGTTCACCTGTCACCTCCCACTGGGGGCGCTGCCACTGACGAGACACTGTGCAGCCCATTCAGTGCCCGCATGGGCGTGATGTGGGAGGTCGGGGAGCTACTGCTTCGGGGGCAACCCTTCGGCCCCCAGAAGAAGGGAGCTGACAGCGGACAGTTCTGCCTCCCTCCGGCCTGCTGACGGTCCGGTGCGTGCGGCTCCTGGGAACCGTGGTCCCGGTGGCTGAAGCATCAGCCACCTTTCGCAGCATCGGCGCCCTGGACTGGGCCCTCCCCCTGCCCCCGTCACTGCTGCTTCTGGGGCCCACTCACCCTAATAAGGAGATGCCCCAAGCTTTGCCCCAGGTTCTGCTTTTGGGAACCCAGGCGGAGACAACAAACCTGGCCAGGCCTCTCCCAGTTCACGCCTAAGGTGCCCACCTGCTGAGAGCAAAGAGCTCTCCTACCGGCCCCTCTTTGCTCTCCCCCCCACCCCACCCCAGCCTGAGAGCCAAGGCACAGGCACAGTCACTCGCCACTGATCCCCCCTGCCGGCAGCTGCCCCGCTGGCTGTGCCACATCAGCTCCTGTCCCCAGCGCTCCTGCCTCCTGCCACCTTCCACTCCCGGACACTATCACCTCGGAGCCTCTGCACGCACTGTTCCCTTTGCGGGTGTGCCCTTCCCTCACAGGCAGAGTTCTATCCGCCTCAAATAATAACCATCGCTGTGGGAAAAGCAGTAACAACAGCAACAGCACCTGGGTTTCGGGTGGACTGGGGGCCAGGGGCCAGGCTGGGCACCCCCGGGGATCCAAGTGTCCTCCCTGACATGGGAGGTTGGCGCCTGTCCCCGAGGCCCTGAGGAGGAAGCAGAGCCTCGGAGAAGGGAGTCACTAGCCACAGTCACCTGCCAGAGTGGACAGGCTTGGGGGTGGGGGACAGGAGTTTATCCCAGCTCCACTGACTGGCTGATGGGCCCCCTCAAGGCCTAGTTAAGTGCCCCCCCACTTTGGTTCCTTCCCTGTACCCCACCTGCCCAGAGCGGAGTCCTCAGCTCCTCTCTAAGGCCCTCCCTTGGTTGGAGTCCCTGACAGATAGCAAGTGTTACCTCTTGTGTCTGTGTCTGGCACACACCCTCCCCGACCATGAGCTCATGGGGCCACGGCCTGCTCTGACCAGCCATGGGCGCTGAGGTGACAGGGAGGCGCTGACAGCACACGTCCCCCTGGCCGGCCGGGCCGGGCGAGGCTCCAGCCAGAGGCCTCCAGGGGTGGCGGGTGGCCGGCTGCCCTCTTGGCTGTGTTCTCAGGCGCCAGGCCAGAAGCCGCTCCCTCCAGTGACACGACTGTGGCTTTTGTCACATCACAGCCTGTCTTCCTGGCCCCTGTGCTGCTACTAGGAGTTGAGGATCACCTGGCGGTGTGTGCTTAGAGGTCTGGTCAGTTGTTGTCCCAGGTCCAGAACGGAGCACGTTTCACACGCTCCGCTCTGCTGACAAGCAGGCGGGTGGCTGGGCCCAGCCCGCCTTCTGGGCAGTGTCCCCTCCCCCCACCGCGGTCCCCCGGAGCCTCCTGAGTCCCGCCAGAGGCTGTGGGAGGACCAGGGAGGGTCTGCGGGCACTCGAGCCTCACTTAACCTTCACAAGGCAGGGTCTGTGTGGCTCCTATTGTACGGACCAGGAACCGACGCTTAGAGGTCACCTGTCAAGGAGTGGTCAAGCCAAGGGCCTCATGACACCCAGGTTGGCGCTTGTTCCAGATAAGCCAGCAACATCTCATTCACAAGTTGTTCACTGGGAGCCAACATGTGCCAGGCACCCTCCTGGGCTGAGAGACCCAGTGGGGAGCAGAACAGACTTCTAGAAACCAGCCTGAGTGCCCGCCACTCATCAAAGCCCAGCCCAGAAATAGAGTGGCGGTTGGGGTGGGCGGCCTCCAGGAACCCGGGCTGCAAGCTCCACCCCTGTGCATCAACACAGGGGTCCCCGCAGGCCCTGCTCCTGGCCGCATTCTCTTACTTGCATGCTGTGCGAGCCCAGCCTGGGGAGTCCGGAGCAGGAAGCGACAAGAGGGGGCAGGGATGGCTGCAGACAAGGAGGGCAGCCAGCCGCTGGCCTCTGGGCCTCACAGGGGCCGGCGGGACAAGGCTGGAGACAACCCATGGGAATCCAACCCAGCACCACGCCGCCCAGCTGCCTGGGCCATGCCGCACGAGGGCCAATGCCCTGTCACCTCCCTGGACCAGGGTGCCACTGCGCAGTCGCCCACACGCGAGACTCATGTCCTGAGTCCTGGTGGCTTCTTACGTCCACCAAGGAAGACCGAGTCTTTGTGTGCAAAGGTCTCTTGTAGGATGTGCCCCCCTTGCCTACTTCTGAATCTGGAAATCGAAGGTCTCCTCCTCCTCCTCCATTCCCCTGGGGCCCTGACTCTGCCCTGGCCCTTGTGGAGGCGCCCACAGCCCTCGGTTCATATCGCAGCCACCGCAGCCGCCAAACTGCCTTCTGCAGCTGGTGGGGCGAGCTCCCCACGTCTGCTCTCACAGCACCACTGCCAGCAACGGTCCGCCTGGTCAGCACTTAACGATCTCTGAGCGTGTCGGTGGGACCCTCCAGGGCAGGGACCCCGGGGCTCAGCACACAGTGGGGCTTCAAGAAGGCAGGCAATATGGCAAAGGGATTAAGAGAAGGGCTGTGGCGCGAGAGCCCACTGGAGACGGAGTCTGCCCTTCCCGGCGTGACCTTGGTCAAGATCCTTAACCTCTCTGTGTGTTATGTCCTCACCCACAAACAACGGGAGGAATTCCAACCTCACAAAGCTGTTGGGAGCAATAAATTGAGATGACACATGTGTTTGTTCAGTAAATGCTCAAACATAGACTATTCAGATGCAGCTCAGGCTCTGGCTGGGTAGCTCAGCTGGTTAGAGTACCGTCCCAATATGTCAAGGTTGTGGGTTCGATTCCCTATCAGGGCACAAGGAAGACTCAACCAATGAATGCAAAAATAAAATGGAATAACGAATCATCTCTCTCTCTCTCTCTCTCTAATCTCTCTAAAATCTTTATAAATTTCTTTAAAAAAAAGATGCAACTCCATGTTCTCTCCTTCAGGAAACCTTCTGTGACTTTTCCAGGGAAAGCATGGTCTTTCCAAGAAAGCCCCAGGAAAGGATCTGAAAGGGCCAGGAAGGACAATGGCCCTCGGGCTGAGGAGCCACCCTGGGCATCCGGAGGCGCTGCGAGTGCCAGACAGGGCAGGTTCTGGAGGAGACTGTGGGTGTGGGTGTGTTTGCATCATCTCTCTCCGTCGGGAGTCCACCTCCCCACGGCAGAGGCAGACGCGAAGGCCTGAGGCCCCCTGCCTGCGGGCCCCGCCTGGAACTTGTAAAGGAGGCACCTGGGCCACCGCCCCCGGGGGTGGGAACCAGGAGGCGTGGAGCCTGGATGCAGTCCTCCACCTCGTGCTCTCCCAGCCTCCCACCAGGCCCGCCGGGAAACCGTGATCCAGCCCCGCGGCCTCGCCCGGCTCACTCCAGACATGAGGTCACTCCCAGCAGGGCTGCGGGCGAGGCCCTAGCGACCACTCCACCGCTGGCTGCTCAAAGCCAGCCCGTGCCTGGGAGATTCCCAAGGCAGGAGGGGAGCCTCCTGCCGGGGACGCAGCAGGCCTGACCCTTCCCTGCCTTCTCCTTGGACGCGCCCACCTGATTTGCTCTGCTGAGCCTACTGTGTAGTAAGTGCTCAACTGCCACACATGGAGTGAATTCACGAACTCTGCTGTGTGACTGGGGGGTGGGAGGTCCCCGGACCTGGTCCCGCGGAGCCCCCAGGTGGGTGGTGGAGGCAGACACTAGACCAGACTACGCCAGCCCCCCTGAGGTGCCCAGGGGCTCAACAGAATCCAACAAGGGCACGCCCCGCCCCCCACCCCTTGCATTCGGGAGCTCCTCAGGGCCCACCATCTGCTTCCATCCTTTCTTTTTTTTTAATTTTTAAAATTTTTATTCCTTACCCAAGGATATAGAGAGAGAAGAAGGGAGGGGGGAGACCGAGAAACATTGACCAGTTGCCTCCTGCACGCATCCTGACCAGGGATCGAACCCACAACCCTTTGTGTACAGGACGAAGCTCCAACCAACGGAGCACCTGGCCGAGGCCCCTATCCCTTCTTTCCTCCCCAGGTGGCCCGGTCACACTGGCAAGGAGTGAAGTCCCAGGGCGCACCATGGCTGCCACCCCTGGGCTGTGTGACCTCCAAGCAAGTCCCCAGCCCTCTAGGCCTTCACTCGATTGGCCTCCAGGCCTAGTCCAGTCTCCACCCAGGGCTGGGCCGCCAACGGGGGCCAAGGAGGCAGGCACGAGAGAAATCCAACCGGAACTGTGTGTTTTCATCATTTAGTCTGCATGGCAATTCTGGGAGCAGGTAAGATCGCCTCCACGTTAAAGACCCTGCAAGGAGCATCACGGGCGCGTTGAGAGCGTTGACGTGACCTACCCAGGGTCGCGCAGCCAGGATCAAAGCCCCGTATGTCTAGCTCCCTCCAGCCCCCCCACCCCCAGCGCTGCCCTTGTGGGCTGAAGCTGGGACACGCGCTGCCCCTGCAGACCCTTCCAGCCCCAGTCCCCTCCCTGCCCTGGGGCTGGGCCAAGGCCAACCTGAGGCTTAACAGTCCAGACCCTGCTGCCCACCAGTGTGGGGCCCGTGCGCAGGAGGAGCGTGTACAGCTAAGGCGCAACGTGGTGTGGGCAGAAGCCCCGCTCCACCCTCATAGGAGATGGGGGCAGAGAAGTATCACCAACAAGATGTCACTCAGGTGGTCCTGAAGGATGAGAGAGGCTCTGCCAGTGGGGGCGCCATCCCAGAGAGAGGAGGGCAGGGCACTCACTGAGGTGGGGCTGGCGGCGCAGGCCTGGGGCGCACCCAGGGTCCGAGGGCACCGACACCCGCAGCCCTAGGCGCACAAAAAGCCAGCACACTGACCATGCTGTGGGCAGGCCCTTGGGGCTTCCTGCCCTGGTACCCCGACAAGGGCGGGGCTCCCTCTCCTGGGGCACTGGGGGGCTAATTTCCAGGAGGTCCCAGGGCAGAGGAGCCCTGAAGAGCCAAGGGACTGACGACATCGACCGTCCGTCCCTCCTGCTTCAAGAGGGGAAACTGAGGCCCCCAGAAAGTCCAAGTCACAATGCCAGCGAATGGCAACACCCTGGCCATCTTCAGATGCCTGTCTCTCCTCCCCGGGCGCCGTTACTCCAGCTGGGGGCCTTGGGAGCCCAAGCCCGCTGCCCAGCCGCAGGCGTCGTCCAGTGGGATCGCCACCGTCGCCTCCCTCCTCCCTCCACCGCCGCGCCCCGCTCACCTGGCACAGCAGGTCGAGCGCGTAGCCGGCGCACGCGGCCCACAAGTCGGCGTCTACGCGCGCCGCCAGGGCCCCGAAGCGGCGGGCCAGCGCGGCGTCCTGCTCGGGCGTGCAGCAGCCGAAGGCCGAGTACTGCGCGCAGAAGAGCAGCGGCTGCGGGGGCCGGAAGGGCGGCCTGAAGTCCAGGCACTGCGGGTGCGCCGCCGCCCCGAGCGCCCGCAGAACCAGCAGCGCCAACAGCGCGCGGGCCGCGGCTCGCCGTCCCGCCATGCCGCTACCACCCCACTCCGCCCCGCCCCGGGCCCCGGGGGAGCCTCCGGCCGCGCCCTGAGCGCCCGCCTCCCGCCTCGCCCGCACCCTCAGGGGGCGGCCTCGAGCTCGCCGACCTCCCCAGCGAGGAGGAGGCCACCTCTGGTCCGAGACACGTGGGCGGGACTGAAGGAAGGGAGGCGCCGTGCAGAACTTGGAACACCGTAGTGCCTGGGTTCCCGCGGTGCGGCAGCCCCGTCCTCCTGGACGCAGAGCCTTTCCAGACACAATGGCAATGGCCTGGCCTCCTGGGGGTCCGGGTACGGACTGTGTTTCCTATCCTGACTGGCACTTAGCTTCCTCCCCTCGGCACTGTGGCATCCCGGAGGCTCAGGGGAGGCTCTGGTCCCTTGGCTTTCGGTCCTAGTGTTAGATGAGACAAGGGTCTCAAAGTCTGGGCAGTATACTCAATGTTATTTCTAAATGTTAATCTTGTTAAGACACAGCCTAGTGTTTTGCAGACGCAGCTGTAAATGCCTTGCCAGGAACTCAGAGGGGTAAGTGTAGCCAACTGCAAAGAAGACATCAACCTGTAACTGACCAAAATGGTGTATGCAAGCTGTGGCGGAGCCTTACCGATGCATCCCCTGTCTCCTTTACCTGCTACAAGTGCAAGAAGCTCCCTTGTGACAGCCATGTTTGGTGACTGAATAGAACGTCCATTGAGTTCAGTCTCCGATGGAGCCCCGGGAGGGAGGTGGTGGAGCCAATGCTGGAAATTCCCAAGGAATCACTTAAAAATGATTCCGGGACGGTGCGAAGCACAGGCGTGTTGGCCGGGAAATCACAAGCAGAAGTGAAACCTAGGCTTGGGGGTGGGGAGGCGGTTGGGCCAGCCTCCGGAGTCCACCCTTGGTCCCCACCCCAGGCTTCTTCCCTTTCTCCCGTCTTGAGCCAGCAGATTCCCCTACAGCTCGGCCGGCCGGCAGGTGTGCTCCCTCCCACTGCTGCCTACCTCCTGGGAGGTCTTCCAGCGCCCGCCTGTAGCCCCTGGCCGTGCTTCTCCCTCTACCACGCCTCTGGGTCCGGGACCCACTGTGCAGCTGAGGGAGCACAAGTGGAGAGTCAGGAGCTTGCCCAGCTCACAGGGCAAAGCTGAAGCTCCAAGCCCAAGTGTCTCCACTTCGGCTCTGACACCGAAGGAGGTAGGAAGTGCTCACTCCTGTCCTGCCAGTAAGAGAGAAGCCCAACAGACCTGTTAGAGAACTGAGTTCCGAGAGTCCCACCCCACCCCAGGATCTGAAGCCAAGCAAACTCAGGCTCAGCCATGGTCTGTTCAGCAGGAGACGGCGCTGGAGCCTGAGCTGGTAGGATGGCTTACCCAGAATTCCAATGACTTGCTGGGGGCGCAGAGTGCGCAGTATGAAACTGAGAGATTCCCAGGCGGGTCACAGTCTAAAGGCGGGGCATGGTTTTATGATTTTACCTTAGGGACCCTTCCAAACCCCCTCATGGCTATGGCGGCGGGGGGGGGGGGGCGGAGTTGTTGTGAAATACACCCACAGTGGCACCCATAGCAAAGGCCCACTCTCCAAGGAAAATGACTTTACTAGCAATGATCTACCCTCGGGGAAGGCATTTCCCCAACTCGAGCCCCCTCTAACGTGCCTGTCTTCCCTGAAGGGGTGAAGGATGGGGAACTAAGAGACACAAGTGAATGTCACAGCCTAAGGACACACGATTGTAGAACATTTCTCCTCCCAACTCCTTACCGACACTTCAGCAGGCCTCCCACGTAATAACCTGCCCTCAGTTACAAGAGCTACAAGACACACTCTATCTAAGGAGGAGTCCTTAGGGAATTGCAAAGACAACAGGAGAAACAAAGACGCCAGAGGAATTTGCAGCCGCCAGCTCGTAGAGCTACAGCAGAGATTAAATACTGCAGCCCCTAGCCAGAGGAGCAGAAATCCGCACACCAATGGCGCACCTATCTCAGTTCCTGTTACCCAGTGCATCCTGTCTGGCTTTCAGGAAAAAGTGGCATGGCATGCAAAATAACAAGAAGAGACACCATCTGAAGAGAAAAACATCATAACCAGACTCAGGGAAGACATAGAATTTGGAATTTTCAGGGAGTTTAAAACAACTATGATTAATACGTTAAGGGCTCTAGTGGAAAAAGTGAACAACATGCAAGAACAGATGGGCAGTGTGAGCAGAGAGATGGAAACTTAAAGAAAAAAAAATTAAAAGAAGTGGTAGAAGTCAAAAACTGTCACAAAACAAATGACTTTGATGAGTCCACCAGTGGACGGCCCAGGGGAAAATCGGTGAGTCTGAGGATATGTCAACAGAAACATCCCAAACTAATACACAAAGAGGAAAAAAAAGTTGAAAAAAGTAAACACAACAGTCAGGAACTGTAGGACGATTTCAAAAGGTATTAATATCTGTGTGATTGGAAAACCAGAAGGAAAAGAGAGAGAATGCAGCAGAAGAAATAGTTGGAGTACTAATGGCCAAGAATCTTCTAAAATTAATGACAAATACTGAACACAACAGACCCAGGAATCTGAAAGCACATAAAGCAGGATAAAAACCCCACACATCTACAACCACGCCTGTCAGAGTCAAACTGCAAAAAAACAAAGACAAAGTGAAGCTCTTGAAAGACGTCAGAGTGGGAAGACACCGGACCTACACAGGCGGGGGAGAAAAATGGCAGCAAGCGTCTCATCGGAAACCCCGCAGGCAGGAAGAGAGCGCAGCTGAGTACTTAATGCGGTGAAAGGAAAAAGCCATCAACATAGATTTCTATACCCGGCAAAATTACATACCCTTCAAGAGAGAAGGAGAAACACTTTCTCAAAAAACCAAAAACAGTGAATCCATCAACAGCAGGCCTGCCTTACAGAAAATGTTAAAAGAAGTCCTTCAAGGAAAGGAAAATGACGCAGGTCAGAAACTCAGCATATTGGATGCTTATAGCAAATGGACACATGAAATTAATCCCAGTGGTGCTATAAGGGACGGGGGGGCGGGGGGGGGAAGGACTTGGGAACACTCTGTTACAAGAGTGCCTGCACTACGTGAGAAACGGAATAGTTCTGGAACCGGCGCCCCCTAGTGAGGGAGGGGCTGCAGGAAACCACCAAGGTGAAGCCCCACTGCCTGGGTCGACAAGCTAGTGCGGTGCCTGGCGACAGGACCCCCACCTCCCGGGCAAGACGTTGCAGGAGCGAGTTACTGCATGGAGCATGCATGAGGCTAGTGGGATGTTCGGCTAAGGGGTAAGCCCTCCTAGTCCTTGCTGGCGCCTGGGTGAGGGTGAGACCAGAGGGCACGGCTGCCCGTGACTGTTGGAGGTCAACAGGGTGGCAGGGCGAGGTGCCGTCCTGCCAGTCTAGCCTGGGAAAGGGATGAGGTGGCTCCTGGGGAACGCAGAGGTTTGGGCCAGGAAATACAAACTGGGGGAAGGGAGAAACATGCCCTCTTCTTCTGGACCCACTTCACGGATGTGCAGCCGGGGCTGGTGGGGCTGCCCGGCCCTGGAAGCCGTGTGGTCGGCGGTGGTTCTCATAAGTGGGGAGGCTGAGGCCCGGCTGTGGCGGGGAGAGGAGCTGAGCTGCTTGGAGGTCAACTCAGCCGCCGCCCGCCATTCCCAAGGGGTGGTGTTTTGCCGGAGAGCAGGAACTCTGGGCGCAGCCTGGGACAGGTCTGGCAGAGGGTGGTGGGGTTTCCCCCTGGGTTTTCCTTGGTTTTACGGAGGAGATGGGCTCTGAGGCAGGAGCCTGCCATCCTCCCAGGCTGTGCAGCTTGTGAACAGAAGACCTCTCTCCTTTGGAATATGCCTATGGGGGCAGCGGGCCACCCAACCCCCCCTTTTTTTTGGTAACAGTATTACTTGAAAATGGGCTCGCATGAGCTAAAAATGTGTATTTCCTCTGTACCATTAGCTCAGATTTTCCTGCAAATCTAAAATTGTCCTAAAATAAAGTCTATTAATAAAAAATTACGTATAAAAAAATGTATATTGCACACTCCAGGGCAACCACTAAAATAATTTTTAGAAGAGATATCATTGATATGCTTAGGAAGGAGGTAAGATGCATATCAGTAAATGCTCAGTTAAAACTAGAGAAGGCTGAAGAAAGGGTAGGAAAAACAAAGAACATGTTTAATTAGCAGTAAACAGTTACACACAGGGTAACTCCTAATTGCCTGAAATGTAAATGATCAAAATACAGGCATTGCAAGACAGAGTGGTTAAAAAACAAGGCTCTACTGTAGGTTCTCTACAAGAAATACACTTTAAAGATTCAGATAGGTAAAAATAGAGGGATGGAGGAAGACATACCACCTTACTACTAATCAAGAGCAACTGGAGTAGCTACATTAATTTCAGAAAAAAGCAAACTTCAACAGTCAGAGCCGGAACAGTGTCCTCTGGTCCCTGTCAAACCCCCAGGGTAGGTGCCTGGCACGTGCTGGGCACGCTGCCGTTTGTATGGACCCGTAAGCACGGGAATGAAAGAAAGGGTGAGCGTGGAAGTGAAATGCTCTGACGTTGCTATTTCCAGCAGGCCTGAGCTGCTACCAGAGCCGGTAGCCACCGGCTAGATGGCCTGGACAACTTCACCAAATGCCGTTTGGAGCCAGGGATGTGTCCGGGCAGGGGGAGGGGGCATGCCTGGGCATCAGGAACCACGCTGATCCTTTGAGCCGACGAGCCTTCAAGCCCTGTCTACTGGAAACAGCCTCGGAAGCCAGTTCCATGCCTGAGAAAGCCTCGGATTTTCCTCCACAAACACGGGCTTTGTGCTGTCAGCAGATGACTCAGGGCCCACAAAGGCTGCCTTCTCGCCCATTCAGGCTCCGCCTGGCACGAGGGGGACCCCCAGCCCTGCTGCAGTCACCCCTCCATGACCCCATGCAGGACCCTCCCCTCCCTCAGCCCCAGTGTCTCTGCCTCCTGACGGGGGTGGGAAAGAGGCGAGACAGGGCCACCGCTGGCCACT